TAGCCATGGCCTCCGACCTAGTAGCGATGGCCTCCGACCTAATAGCGATGCCCCTCCAACCTAGTAGCTCTGTTTTGCCAGCCACAGTTCCAAGCACTGTTGGGCTGCTGCCTCACCGGCATCTGGAAGCTCTTGAGCCATGGCCTCACACAAACGAGGTGCACCTCTATCCAAAGACTGGGTCGCTAGGTGTACACCTGGTACAATGACGTGCATCATGATGTAGCTTAAACAAAGCCCGTCCCTCGCACCAACATCTATGGGATCTAGAGCTTTCCTTGACCCACGACCTGTTCAGCTCTCCATGGTCAACGGTCTCTGTGACCGTAGGGCCTCCTCAATCTCTTCCGCAGTGTAACCCAAGAACTTCAAGGACTCCTCGAGCGAATAGGAAATTGTTTGCACGAGAAGAAGTCGGAAGGCTGCCAAGCTATTGCTCTACAGGACCAGGCTTCCAATGTTCGACAGCTTTGCTTGTAAACCAAAGCCAACTGCATGGACAGTCCCGCTCATCGTTCAACACCAAGTCCGACATGATGCCCGGAAGCTCGAGATTGGCCACCTGCCATTCTGAATTTCTCTCGCGTCCAAACCTTAAGACCTTTGAGTCAGCCTTTGAATAGGAATTTCTGAGCCAGACATCAAAATGATCGAATGATCTTCCGCCTTTGGCCATACCTCCGGCGCTGCCACCGGAGGTCGGATTCGGGTGGCGTCTGCCGTACGGCCCGGGGAGCGCCAGAGGTCCTGGTTGAGACCACTCACCGAGTTGGCGGTCAGAGTCGTTGTCCGAAGAAGATTGAAAAGACTTTCAAGATGAAAAAATGGTTTCCGGAAAGTTGTTTGATCATCGCTATTAGGTTAGAGGCCATTGCCTCTAGGTTGGAAACCATTGCTATCGCCAGAGAGATTGGCTTTTCGGGAACAAGCACTTGTGAAGGGCTGGTGTCTACAGTTGCTACTTAGTCATGTCCTACCTACTTGTCTTCACTCGTGTTCTAATGTGGGAGGACTGGCCACGCTTCGTGGGAAGACTGGGAGCTTCATTGAACCTACTAGCGATGGCCTCCAACCTAAATGCGATGCCCTTGTTATTAGTAGCTTCTTGCTCCTAGTAGCGATGCCCTTTGTTACTAGTAGTTTCTTGTTCCTAGTAG